GGCAAGTTTCTTTTTTTGGCACGAGCAACGGCGGCTGGCCCGTTAAACAGTCCGCACACTCGTTCACAGCTGCAAGTGAGCTGCAGCTGATGTGACGTTAAATGGTTCTTCCACCTGCTCCGAACATAATGGCTTTAAGAATGTCAACCAAATGGGAAGATTACTTGAATAGGTCCACTCAGTGAGGAAAACAGGTGGCAGATGTAGTTTTTACAGAATGTAACTACGTATCTGAAGTCTCCATCTTTGTATTTTTGAACGGTTGACTGTATGCTTGGTCTGCATAATGTTTTTGTATACACTGCATTCTTGTGGCAGATGTCCATGTGGTGGGGGGCTGACAGGTGCATCTGCCTCTGAGCTAGAGGGCAGGAGATAGTCTGCACTGTGCTTTGTTCCCACAAAGCATCTGCACCTCAGGCTGAAGTCCCGAGATAGTTAACTAAATACCAGCCTTTGCTGTAAAAGAATAACCTCTTTTATTTTGAAGGTTATTCTTCATTGGCAGTGACATCTATACGGATAAATCCAACAAAAAAAGGTTTCCCGGCCTTCCTTGATTTGAACTCTGTTTATGCCACTTCTTGTGACCTAAACGTTCATTAAGATCAGCTATTTTTCAATAAACATTAGGCAGCATTCAAACACAACTCAAGCATTCAGAAGAATGCCTTTGTTATTTGTGGACACACGGTCTGTGTTGTGAGCCAAACACAAGTTGCTTGTTTCCCTGAAACGGCTAAATTGAGCTTAACACCTTGCAAAGGTTTCTGCAACAGTGACACTAAGGAATGTTTGGCCATCAGCTGCTCTGAGTGTTTACGCTGCTCTTATTTCATATTGGTGTCTTTGGTTTCATTACAGCAGTGATAAGTCTTATCACGTGATTGTTTTTTGGAGTTTAGAAAGCTTGTGAATCTTACTTTGGCTTGTAGGTTTTAGGTCATTTATTATTAAAACAGAATTCGCCATTTTGCCCTTAAAGGGAAATTCTCAATCCAGTTGTATCAGTATAACACATGCAGCTGTTTATCTCCTAAACTCTCTCCAAAACGTCACAACAAAAGCCCATAATAGTTAATGTGAATTATATTAGCACCACCTCAACTGAGCAAGTTGAGGTGGTGCTATAGGCTTGAAAGCCATCATTGTTTTTGATGCAGCACAATGACAATCCTTACCTGCTGCCTTTGAAGGTGACCAACAAGACACTTCAATTCATTCATCATTCAAGAGCTGACAATACAAGGAGCCATTTAATAGGCAGCCTTAACGTTTTCAACACCTGGGAATTGTTCATTCTCGAGATTACATTAGACCCCCTTTTGTCGATCTTCTACATATTTGCCTTTCTTTGAGGTGACTCAGCATGAGATAAAGTCATCAAATCAAAATCACGGATTGAATTTGTTTCTAAATTGGCTTGTTTCAGTGTCTTTTCAACAGAAAGGTAATGTGGAGATGTGACATGTGGTTACATGCGTGTCAGGGTGGCTGTTAGCAGAGCATCTTCGACAGATTTGTTTAGGGAAATGAGACGGCAGGATGTTGGTGTAGCTGTAGAGATAACTATCACCGCGGCAGTTGCTCTCTGACCCCTGGTTAAAGCAAATGGCCAGCAGCCTGTGGGCAACTCTGTACATGTCAGCACTGGACTCATTAGATAGATCAGTGCACTTTATTTTAAAGTGCTTTCATGTTTTTTTATTTATTAACTATTTTACACCAGTTATGGATACCAATTCATAAGAGAGGTTATAGTTGTTCGTACATACATAATACACACTTCAAAAGTCCTTATAGCCACAAATAGGACGTTAAACTAAATATACAAATAAGTGGATGTAGTCATAGCCAAATAACATGGCTCTATCTTATACAAATCCTAATTTTTAATTAATATGTAGGTTTGAATCCCAAACTGTCACAACTTTACAGTGTAAGACAATAATGTATGGACCGGAATCAAACTCCACAGAGTTCAGGGAATCACATCCATGTTAAATGCAGCTGAATTGAGCTGAAGTGGAACAGAGTATAGGACCATGAAGTGATGAGCCCACGGGACAATCATGAAAATATATGCTGTCCTTGTCTTATCTGCAAAACAGCATCGCCCGCAGGCGTAGTCCGGTTTATAGTTCCTTGCTGGTTCACTGGGAATTCTTTACTATCTCGTGTGTCACAAGGCGAGAGGGACCGTTTCTTGTTCAGATTTTAAATTTTATGACCTATAGAAATGTTCTCTGCTGACTGTTTTTAAAACTTTGGCAAAAGAAGATCATAAATCAACATACATCATAATGAAGTAGGTCTGCCTCTGTATATTTAAATTGCTTTATTTCCATAAGTTATTCGCAGCTATTGTCCACGAAGAAAAGTTGTGCTTATGATTTAGGACAGCAGTGTTATTCATTAGAGAACCCCCCCCCTCCCCATTAAAAAGAAACCGTGAGTGGCTGCTGGTTGCCCTCCTGTCGTCCCCAGTAAAACAGCAGACTGGAGGCTCGGTCAGACCCCATGGACATGGTAATGTGAGGAATGCGCCCATTTCCTCCTTTGCAGGAAAACAAAAGGAGCTGCTGGAGCGCCTAGCTTGTCCCACCTCACATAACAAGGCTGCCGCTCCCAGATCACAGTCTGCATTGTGTTAAGCCAGTCAGCCTAGGCCACGCCATTAACAGGTCCCAATGGCTGATCTTAAATGTCACCCCTGTTGGCAAATGGGTTTTCAAAACTCTGAGGAGAAAAGTCTTACAGGATGTCTTTTTGATAAAGCTGAAATGTGCCGAATATGGAGACAAATATGGTGTAAAATGTGCTGTTTGAGTCTTCAGTTAGATCTTTGACTTTCTTCCCATGGTGCGTCCCCTGAGAATCTTTCACCTGTGTCAAACAGCTCTCAGCAGAGAGATAAGCACAAGATGGGAAACACAGCATAATATATTCGTAACATTTTCTTTTCCCTCTCAGGAGAACATGCTAAAGTTCTGATGCTAACGCTAATCCACAGGAATAGAGTAGGACGGAAGAATGGACATTGAACTGTTTTCCCGGCCAAGGTATAACATAAAACCACTGTAAAAACACAACTTGTCGTGTTTTGCACGGATGAATAAATAAGATACAGCGTGTAATTGGTGAGCTTTAGAGCGGCCGGTACAGGGACTCATTTCATCTTTGGGCGGAGCACTTTCCAGTCTTTGTGCTAAGCTAACTGTCTGTTGGCATATTTGACATACAGATACAAAAAGGCATCCTCATTGAACTTTCGGCAAGAAAAGCGGAGCTTATTTTCCAAAAATATCAAACTAATCCTTCAACAAGCTGCAGCGCCGTAGGCAACGTTATAAAGTCCTCGTGAAATGGTACATAGTGCAACAGCACAATGTGAGGCTTTCTCGCTTATCTTATCAGCCCTGATGAGTTGTGAAATGGCAAAACCTGTAGATTCTTATCAGTTGTTGAGGCAATCCGCATTCTTTAGCAACTGTTGGGCTTCAACTGCCATGCAAATCTGCAGGTGGACATCTGCCTGTGAGCGTTTAAGATAAAGCAACCTGCAGGTTTTTCATGCTGACAGACAAGAGGAGACTTGTTTACACCCAACAGCCTGCACCACCATTAGGATGATCCTTTTCACGGCTGCAATCAATGACACGACTATCCAATGCTCGCACCCAACCCCCCAACGGCCAGCTGATCCCAGGGTCTCTCCATCCACATACGTGTGTGTGTGTGTGAGCGTGAATGAGGCGTATAGCTGGTGCTAGTGGTGGAGGGGTGGAACGGCAGATGGCAGGGGCTGCCCCCGTCATGTCTGCTTTTTGGGGGAGAACAATGCATCTCTGAGAGCTCTTATTAAAGGAGGGGAAGGGGATTTCGGTCCACGGACAGCTGGCAGGCAGCGTGCCTCGCACCCACCCCTCTCCCTCCATGTCCACACACAGACACACACTCTGCAATGAACTGCCACGGGCCACGGCTTAAATATTTACCAGGCACATGCAAACAAAAGGCTGCTCAAAGAAATAATGATTAATCCACGTCTCGATTATGCGACAGCACTGTTCTTTTTTAAATTACTGCCTCATGAGACCTCTTATACCAAGTCTAGTTTCTGTGATGTTCAGCAGGTAAAATCCACAATGAAACACAGTTCAACTTTAATTAACACACATTATAATGAGGTCTCAGTTCAATATCACATTTATCATTTTTAGTGGCGCTTATCAGTCAATTATCCCATGTCCCATGCCATCCCAGTCGATCCACAGAATATTAATCGCCAACAATTTTGAAAACCGAGTGATCATTTAGGACATTTATCGAAAGATGTTAAACATTCCCTGTTTTCAGCTCGTCAAATGGGAGAATTTGCTGTTTTTTCAGTTAAAACGAAAATGACTTTCTGGGTTTACGAACTGAAAACAGAAGAGTTTGCATACATCCGCTGGGGCTTCTGGGAAGTTGAGATTAGGTATTTTTTTCACAATTTTCTAAAATTCCTTAGACTAAAAGATATATTAACATATATATAATATATAATATATATATATATATATATATTAATCGACAATAAAAATAATTGTAATGGGAGATTGAGACTTTGTATGGGTTTTGTCAGAGTGTTCTTTTTGAAATCACATGTATCAGACGTATAGTGTTGGAACACAGACATCCTTATAAACCACCATCCTTGCTATATCCCAGCGTATTTCAACGCACACTTTATGATTTAAATCTTTTAAATATTTTTTTTCTATCTCCTGCAGTCTCACCGTAACATGTTGCTCCTCGAGCTGTGACTTTAAACGTTGGAGCAGCAGGGACTTCAAATTCTTACAAAACGACAACAACGAGCTCTTTTACATGATACAAGCAGCCAGCTGAGACAGTATACGCTGCTGCTCTGAATCCAATTTTTTCGCTTCGTCCCTCCCCCTCTCCTCTCATCTCCTCCCCCTCTCCTCTCCTCCTCCCCTGTGCTCCGCTTTTGATCCCACAGGGACTTGGAGCCTTTACATTCCAGTCATTCCAGCCGCAGCGAACAATCGGCCCTCAGTTATTTATTCGTGCAGCGCGCAGCTTCGGTCCACTCAGTCTGCTGTTGGCTGTCGGTGCGCTCAAACACACACACACACACGTTACGTTACATGGAGGAAAACGGAGGAAGGAACTTGTGGACATTGTTGAACTGAGCACGGACTACTTTGGAGATCACGCCACCGTTTACCGTTTCCCGTGTGATGAGACGATCATTTGGTAAGTGTGTACGTTTTGCTCTCCTGAGTTCATCTTTTGTCTTTGGATGTCGGAGAACTAGAAGTCGTGCGCCATTGTGCGAGGCGCAGTATTGCCTGGCGGATTAATGATGCGAGGGTTTTTGCGAAGTTATGTTTAAATCCCGATGGGAAACTCAAATTTATTTATTTGATCTAGTGAAGAGCGCCGCCTTTACTGAACTGCATCCTAATTTTCACATATAGTCAACATTTTTAAATAAAATTAATCTCAAAGTTTGAGTTTCTGATCGATTTAAAGCCTCTCAGTATAGATTGTTATCATATATACTTTTTCATATTTCACATATTCCAGCATGTTTCCTGTAGGACGACAGTCTTGGTTTATACATCTTTTTTTTTAGTTTCTGTCAAATTTGGGTCAATCAGTCTGTTTGTCTGTGGGAAGTCTGTGTTGTTCATAGTGATCGTATTAGTATTAATTACACTTGTGTCTGGCTGGAGAGAGCTATGCCTTAAAGTGTGTGGGCAATAAAACTGGATCTGCACTGACATCACTGTCAGGGGTATTTCCAGCAGCAGCTCATGCACTTCCAGCTAAAGTCAGTGTGTAATGTTGGCTGCTGTCTGTGGCTCATAACTGAAATATGTATTATTAGTAGTAGTTTTGATGAGAACAATGGGGTTAAGGAAGCCTGAAACAAATACTGAGCTGATAACATGTATATTAATGTTTTTCCTTCAGGTTTGTGACGTACCCTCAAACTGCCACCTCAAGGCTGTTTTTTTTGCCTATTTCCCACTGACTGACATGAGAACCGCTGAAGGCTCATCTGGAACGGTCCTGCACCGTCTCATCCAAGAGCAGCTCCGCTACGGCAATCTGACGGACACTCGCACGCTTCTGGCTATCCAGCAGCAGGCCCTGCGTGGAGTCAGCAGCAGCAGCAGCGGAGGCGGCGGCAGTCCTCGCTCCTCTCTGGAGAGCCTGACTCAGGAGGAGCCCCAGTACATGCAGATGTCCACGCGACAGGACCCCCAGGGCCAGGAGCACCAGGGGGACTGTGTGCACTCCGAGAGCAAGGTGTGCCGCCTGTACCAGCTCCATGGAGAGGAGCTGCCCACGTACGAGGAGGCGAAGGCCCACTCCCAGTACCTGATCTCCCAGAAGGGGCAGGCAGAGCAGGAGGGACCCGGCGTGGATATTCTGGGGAGCCACGGCGAGGGGCAGTGGGATTTGAAAAGGGAGCATGCTCGCTCCCTCAGCGAGAGGCTCATGCAGCTCTCTTTGGAGAGGAATGGTCTTAGAGACAGTCTGGCCATGAGCACCTCACACAGCTATCCACAGCTGCATGATAATATTACAAAAGCCTTGGCAGCCGACAGGCAGGCAGCCCAACAACAGTGCGTGGACCAGCGTGGGCCGCCCCCGGACTACCCTCTGTTCGCCAGACTTCCTGGATACATGCTCAGCCACTCACAGGAGCATGGGCAGTACTACAGAGACCCTCCTCCCCCCTTCTACTCACAGCATCACAGGTAATCACAGCAGATAAAGTAGGAGTAGGACCATTTGGTTTTGGATGTCAGATAAAACGAGGCCAAGCAAAACGGCATCATTCAAGCATTCCAAAGGCCTCGCAGGTTTTCAGCAGCGTTGTAACAAGTTACTCGTGTCTTTCCTCAGCAGGTACACATCGGCTCAGTCCCAGGTGGCTCCCAACAGCATCAACGCAGCCCCTGGCAATGGCTCGGCTCAGACCGAGGTGTTGGTGCGGGAGAATGAGTGGCTCAGGAAGGAGCTGGAGGCCCACACTGAGAAGGCCGTCAGGCTGCAGAAGGTGAGAGAACAAGGCGGTTGCGATGAAACGCAGCTGTTGGCTCCCAGAGGGTGTGGAAATCGTAAAAAAAACAATACTTTCCTTGCCAGTACATGTCGGGGTGATGAGCTGTCTGGCAGGTCGGGAACATGCATGGGTGGTTCACTATGTGGAGAAGAGTTTTTTTTTTTTTTAAATCATATTTATAGTAATGGATTGCGACTTTAGAAATGTGCTCTACCGGTTAGGTGTTGGGGGTTTTCTCACCTCCTTTTGTCTTTCAAACATGCTGGCATATTGCCATGAAAGGAGATAAATGCCTTCGACACTTGGGGACTCACAAGTGTTCGCTCAGGAATGTTGATTCCCGCTTTTCAGTTGCCATTTGCCTGTAAGCAGTAAAGGGAGAGAGAAAGGGTGTCATTTGTGCAGATGAGTAATTGGCCTCATTGATATTAACAACTGAAACAATAACAACATTCCAGACAACTAATGGGGATGCCTCTCCCACAGACTAATCATCTTCCTCGCGTTTTCTTCCCAGTTGGAGCTGGAAATCCAAAGGATATCTGAGGCGTATGAGACTCTGATGAAAGGCTCTGCCAAGCGGGAGACTCTGGAGAAAACAATGAGGAATAAACTAGAGGCCGAGATTAAGAGGATGCACGACTTCAACAGAGATCTGAGGGGTACGGACCCGTTTGTGTGTCAGTAACTCGCAGTCAGCCTTCAAATGTAACCCAGTGTGTGTGACCGTTTATTTGTTTCCCTCCGCGCAGATCAGCTCGACTCAGCCACCAAACAGCGGTCGGCCAGGGAGGCCGAGTGTTCGGACCAGAGACAGCATGTCTTTGTTAAGCTGCTAGAGCAGAGTGAGTTCATGTCTGCGTCACTCTTTTAAATTCTTCTCACAGCGTGGCTCATGACAAAAAAGAGTTAAGGATCTATGTTTTGTTTTTCCCCCAATCTGATTTGACAAATCGCACTGCGGCCCTGTGCAGGAGCGTCATTTCCCAGTGGTTCCCTCAGGGTGAGGTGGCTGTGGGCCCCGCATGTCGGGACTCAAATGGCTCTATCTCCAATGTTAAGATTCTTGGCACTTAGACACCAGCTATTTTACATAGCTTTAGCAAATGTGGTCTGGATTCCAGGAATTTATTTTTTAGGTATTTTAGGCACACACACCATCACTGCTGACTTTCCTCCTCAACGGGAACTAATGAGTCTGGGGCTCCGGGGCGTCCCGGCCCAACTCAAGATGACCCCTGGCCAGCTCGCTCTCCTTGTTTGGGCATTTCTTTACCTCCATGATCTCCAAGAATATTTCTTTACTCCTTCCCTGTTCTGTGCAGGGATGTGCTGTCAAGTAAACCCAATGATCATATTTTTACTCATCTTTGTTTTTATTTCCCAAATACCATTTTCATATGGATGCATTTGTGAATGATTTTCTGACAAATGTTTTTTGTGTTTTTGCCTCATTCGACATATCTCCCAGTAAGGGTTAGATTACCTTGCTGCTGGGATAACAGTTGCACTTTTCCGGGTATTTTAAACAGCCGTGCGATTGTTTTGGGCCTGAAGATCAAGATCAATTGTCCGTCTGTTTTTCCTGGAAACGGTTATCTAGGAACAACAGGGGCAAAGCCTCGATTAAATTACAATAGTGGGATGTGTCCTGTGTATATATTTTTTTTTGTTGCAAGGACCCCTCGAATTATATTTTGAGCTGCTTGTTTACTTCACGTCCCTAGAAGCATTCCAGAGCTTTTCCCAGTACAAAGCTATGCCTGTGTGCATAAGTGGATAAGAGGAAGTCTGCATTCCCTCCACAGGCATGCACTGGTGTTGTGTAATCAACCCCCTCTTTAAAGTGGCACAACAGATAAACTGGCTTTTTCCTCATTTCAACATGGACTGGCTTTTAATTTGTAAATGAGATTAATTGAATGATAATTGCGAGTTTACAGTACAGCTAAGTGGTTGTGATTCATTTTCATTGTGGTCTGTTGTTGAACCGCGTGCCTTGAAGGCGGTGTGTGAATGTCTCTTTTTGGGCCAGATTCCATTCACATGTAACTCACTGAGCCACTTTGTTGACATACAGTATACCTTTCTTTAGCATTCATCTCACCTCCTCTACGAAGCTGCCCCCCACCTCATATATTCCAGGATCATGTCACTGTTACTTTTACCACCATTCACCTCTTCTTCCCCCCTCTCTGTGTCTTAGATGAAGAGCAGCAGCGGGAGCGCGAACAGCTGGAGAGGCAGATACAACAGCTGCGCGTCTCCGGCGAGGAGGGCCAGCGGCGACGGGAGCTGCTCGAGCAGACGCTGGCCTCGACGCAGGCCCGCAACCGGCAGCTGGAGGAGGAGCTGCAGAGGAAGAGGGCCTACGTAGCCAAGGTGGAGCGGCTGCAGAGCGCGCTGGCTCAGCTGCAGGCGGCGTGCGAGAAGAGGGAGGAGCTGGAGCTGCGACTGCGCACGCGACTGGAGCAGGAACTGAAAAGCCTTAGGGCACAGCAGGTGAGGGGAGGAAGTCATCACATGTTTCTTTTGTCTGTAACTTAAAGGAATAGCTCAACGCTTTGGAAGATATGCTAACTTGCTTTCTTGTCAAGCGTTAGGTGAGAGGATTGATGCCACTTGCAGGTCTGTGCGCTCAATATACAGCTGGGTGTTGATTAGTCTAGCTTAGCATAAGAAGGGGAAACAGCTAGCCTGGTTTTGTCAAAAAAACAACAACATATAGCATGGCTGAAGGCCACTAATTTACATTTCATATCTTGTTGATTTAATCCACACAAAAATGCTTGTAGGCGGTTTATTTGTCTGTGGACAGAGCCATGCTAGCAGTTTCCCCTTTCAGTCTTTATGCTTAGCTAAGCTAACGACTGCTGCTATGTAGCCTCATATTTAGAGTACAGACATGAGAGTTGTATCAATTGTCTCATCTGACTCTTGCCAAGAAAGCGACTAAGAGTATTTTGCAAAATATCAAACTATTAATTCAAATTAAAGGTGTTTGTTTCCTAATGTTGACAACAGCTGTCTATTATCTTAGTCTCAGAGACAGGCAGCTGACCCCACGGCTTCAGAACCGAGCCCCTCCACGTTGCAGCAGCAGCTGAGGGAGAAAGAGGAGCGCGTTCTGGCCCTGGAGGCAGACATCACCAAGTGGGAGCAAAAGTACCTGGAGGAGAGCACCATGAGGCAGTTTGCAATGGACGCAGCTGCCACTGCTGCAGCACAGAGGTACGACAAAACATGGAACATCTTGACTGTTACAATGTCATTGAAGTTTAAATATATATATATTTTTTAACATTCCTTTATTTTCTTTGCAGAGATACAACCATCATCAATCACTCACCTCGACATTCACCAAACAGCAGTTTCAATGATGACCTGCCTTTGGCAAGTCATAGGCATCAGGAGATGGAGAACAGGTACACACATCTGTCCGCGTCCTTGTTAGATACTGCCTGCTTCTTTTTATTTGGGTTTCTGATCTAATGGGGTCTTCCATGTGTTTAGGATCCGCGCACTTCACGCTCAGCTCCTGGAGAAGGATGCTGTGATCAAAGTCATCCAGCAGCGCTCCAGATGGGAGCAGGGCAAGCTGGAGAAACAGGGGCTCCGTCCCGCCAGGTCCGTCCCCTCCATCAACACCGTGACCAGCAGCATGGAGAGTAAAGGTGAGAGCGAGATGTCTGCCCCCCTTCATGCAACATCCGAGGAATTTTGAATCCGTAATGACACATGCTATCAAGGGACAACTGGCACACTGGTCAGTGTCGCCAGACAGAATGTGCACTTTCTAAAAAAAAAAAAGGTATCAGACACGACCTTTTCCTGTCCCTCGAATGGACAACGTGTTTTTAAATTGGAATGCATATCGTCTCTCACTCCAGAATAGCCTGATCCAGAATAGTCATGGGAGAACCCACGGGGCTGATGTTAAGCAGCGGGTAATTAAGCAGCCTCCTCTCTTTGTCCGCATTCGTAGGAAAGAGCCTCTCGGATGACCAGACAGGCGCCGCTGCGCTGCAACCCCGGCCCCGAGCAGGGCCCAGGGCCCCGAGCCGAGACTCCAGCACCCAAAGTGATGAGGCCCTGTTGGAGCCTGAGATCACAGTAGAGCCTGAGAAGCTAAAGACGTCTGAGGTGATCTCAGCAGCTACAACTGGTGGGTTTATTGGTATTCAACACCCAATCACCACCACACAAACAACTGTTCATTCTAACAGGCAGCCCTTTGATCCGTGTCCCATTTGACCACTATTTAAAGTGTAACCAGACCCAGGATCAGGACACACTGAGGCTGCACTGTTGTCGCTAATGACTTTAAATGAAACAAGGCCGTGTGCAGCTTTGCAAATAGCTGGCATTGCAGTTGTATTTGGGTTAGCATACCAAGGTTGTTTTTGTAATCTGCTAATTTTATCTTCCCTGCAGACACCTCGGAGGAGCCGCTCAAGACATTCAAGAGCATCAGCAGCGCCGAGGCAGAGGTGGTTGAAATCCTCATTTAATATGACTTCAACGGCAACATAGACTTTTGGCCGAGGTGTCGAAGGCTTTCCTCCACGTCTGAGTAAAGAAGGGCCAGTCGTCCTATGTGAGCAGAGCAGTTTGCAAGCAGACTCAAACATGCAGAGACCAGGATGTGGTGCAGTTTTTGGTGAGGAGAGCTGAGCTTTCCACAATTCACAAACTCTGACATTTGCCTCAAGAGTCTGAATCCTCCAAGGTACCTGGACAGTATTGTGCACTGTGATAGGAACTTCTTTTTTTCTGCATGTTACTTGTTTTTTTTTTGTGATGTATTTATATTTGTAAATGCTGCTCATATTGTGATGTTACTTTTTATGTTTGAGAGGTGAGAAGAACCAGGATCACTTGCTTCGCTCCGCTCCACTTAAATAATGTGATTTTTATGTTCTCCTATCTCGATTAAGCGTGCAACCCTTCTATGTTTGGTTGGGTTTATTTTGAAGTTCCAGTAGCGAGCCTGTTACCGTGCCCTCTGAAAGTAGTGGGAATATTTCTAATATAAGCATCCTCTGTGTATCCATACCATGTTTGGGGATTATGCTGTGCAACAGAACGACTCCAACCTAAATTAACAGTTGTTCTTCTCTTTAAAATACATTCGAGGCCCCTGCTCACGCCTCAGAGGAAGATTTAGAAACTTTGAAACTCTCTTAAAAAAAACCTGCGAGGATTGACGGGCGTCGCACGGGTGTCTAATTTTCCACATCCCGGGTTAATGTTCGGGGCCCCGCATGGCGACTGCCCAGCATTTGAGCTCCCCTCCGCTGACACGCCGGAGCTAATCTTCTCACATTCCCTCGCTGAGGGAATGCTCCCTTTAAAGAAAAAGGCTATCTAAAGTCTGACCCCTCGCCCTTGTTAAAATGGCACGCATTCTCCACATGATTCTCTTTCTGGGGCTGTTTATTTGGTCTGAGTCGGTGGTAGCTGGTTCTACCGCGAAACGGTCAACTATAATTGGCCTGCATTTGCTCCTCTATTTGTTGTCCCCATTCCTGCTCAAGTATCTCACATTTCTGTGTGGACTGTGTCCTTACCATGGAATATTCTATTTATTTCTCCCTGCATAGTGTCGGATCACTGAACACTGCTGAATGTAGACTCCTGTTTCCCGGACTGTTTCCCCTTTTGTATTTAACTGGAATGTGCCACAAGTCATCCTTGGAGGGGGAATACCGCTAAGCTAATATGTTATGCTAGAGTTGTCAGGTTCCATCTTGACAAATTATCAATGGGAGAGTATTGTTTGAAGTCCCACAAACAGCACATGAAATCTGACATTTGACTGGTATTCCCCTTCAAGCTTTTTCACCACATTTCCCGTCGCAATGCGTTTGCTGGTCAATGTACTGTGACAGTTTAAGTTAATGCCCCTTCACTTTTTTTTTTTTTTTTGGAATGTGTTTACATGAATGGCTATTTGAAGTGAGAGAAGTTAATATATTTTGTAGTTTTGTTTTTATTACTTTTATTTTTGTTTTGTTTTCTGGTGCCAAAGATGTACTCTACTTTTAAGTTATAACTGATGACAAATCCAGAAGGTCCTGTTGGGTGCCTTGCTTCAGCTGGTTGACCCATTTTGATGTTGCTGTGAACTTTTTTTAAAGGAAACATTTGTATGTATACCTTAACATTTCACTGTAATAGATTAAAATTCTTAATATATGTCTGAAAAGGTTTTCTGTTATGATTTGTTGCACTGGTTTCAATACAGTATGCATTGGATTGATTACAAAAACCCTACTGAACGACAGAGGTATCAGATGGACTTTTATTTCAAGACCATCACTGTTTGATTATTCAATACCACTATTAGTTAGAAATAGCCCTTCCTATCTTGATAGGGAGTGGGCCTCTTCACGGAGTCCGCCATGTCACACCGCCGTATTTCTACGGCTGCCCAGAACGGACAAACATAACACTGCCGCTAGAGAGAGCCATTTGCGTTTTTACGTTATCTGAAGGCCACCTCAGAGGAGCCAAAGCAGAGGGTAATTACAACACACTGTTCTTTTGAGAATATATTGGCCTGACAGCAAGATCCAACAGATGAGTTCAGTTAATCCAAAACAAATCTGTCGGCTGACTCCTGAAAACCCAAATAAAATGTACTAATTGTAAATGTATGTAATGCACTTTAGATGTTAGGCAAGCCTATGTAACTTTGGGATAACGCATGGGGAAGCCGGAGCTAAAACACAGTGTAAGAGTCAGAAAATGAGTGAGCTTACTCAGTAATGTTTAATGTAATGTTTGTAAGCTACACTGCTTTCTGAAGTTGGCTAACAGTAGCCACTATGAGATACTGGTCATACCAGACAAAGTAAGGCTGAGGAAGAGCATTAGCTTGAAATGTGACTAATTTACATTGTTTGTCGTAACCTTTGAGCACCATTTTTGTGACAACACTATCACGTTTGAGTAAAACATCGTAAATTCCATCACAGCCCCTCGTGGTTTTTACCGCAAATACAATATCTTTATGACATTCATCCTCGCCACTACTGACACGACGTACCACTCCTGATCTGTTTTCACACATACAACAGTGGCGTTGTGCTGGGATCTGTACATCAAATCATTACATTACAGTCATTTAGCAGACACTTATCCAAAGCGACTTACAATTCAGAGTCTATCACATTTCTATACCGTAGACACAACTACGGGAGCAATTTTGGGGTTAAGTGTCTTGCTCAAGGGCACATTGACTTGCGACTAGCAGAGCCGGGGATTGAACCGCCTACCCTCAGATTGAAAGACGGCCCTGCAATCCACTTACCCACAGTGCTGAGCAAATGAAGAAATGCTGAATTTCAGCTGGTCTCATAAAGAGAAGATCTTGTTTCACATGATGTAGTCTTTCAAACCTGCCCAACTTTATGTTTTTGTGTGTAGTAGACTTCCAAGAAGTTGATGCGCTCTTTAAATGCAAAGATTCCCCTGTAAATGACTTTTAATGTAGATACGTTTGCCTTCCTTCTTCCCACCTGGTAAGCTTGGGATGGCATTCCACAGATGCCACACATTTTCCTCCTGCTGCTTTTACTTGTTGTAGCGGAGTGCCACTTTTCTCAGCTGGGAAAGGCCGCAATAATAAATCTCCATCTGCCGAATGCCTTTTTTTTTTCTTCTTTTTTTTTCAGCTGGGACACATGTGGCACCTTGGCGTCTGTAATGTGCCATTATTTTGGTCCCCCGTTCGTGCTCAGACAGATCACATTTCAGACGTTTCCTCCTGCCACTGATGTCGGTACATGTAAGTCGAGAGCCCCCGCCAAACTGTGGGAGAAGTAAGTGGGTTCTGTAGGTGAAAGGTTATGATGACGTGACTCCGGTGTAGTGCAGAGTTTGAATAGCGCCATGGAGGGAGAATCATTCCTGGGGACGCTCAGGTGTCCTAAAAGAAAGAAAAATGCAATTCATTCCACACACACACATCTAGGAGTCCTGCAGGAATGACTATGAATGTTGTAATGACTGTTGCATTTATTTATCACCTAAATTTCACCACTTTGACTCCCAGCAACTGTGAATGTTTCTCACTTGGACCACAGCATCGGTCATGGCGGATCAAGAGAAGAATGTCAATGAGGTTGTTCTGAGATAAAGGAGATAAAGTTGTTTGTGCTCGGTAAACTGTAGAGTCATGTGAAAATAATGTGCATTCTTAACATGCTCTCCTTACGTACGTGCCCTGTTTATGTTTGTCTTGCCTCCACATTTATTGTACTTTTCAAGTCATGGGCCACTTGTATCGAAATGTGAGTAAACCCTTGTGTCTGGCAGCAATAGAGGGGACGATTGGCAACAAATCATCTGTCTCCTTTCGGGAGCCTTTGGAGAACATTTTGCACTAAAAGCCTGTGCGAAATACTTGGAAAAGAAATAACTGTGGAGCTCTGTGTTTTGTCTTAATTTCCATGGAGATTCCAAAACTTCCTGCTTGCAGCAGTCATGGAATGTGTACCCGCCCCCTTAACTTTTCCACATAAATCAGGGCACCGTCCTCTAATTTTAGGGCTGTTACTGAGATGAAGCGAACCCTCTCAGATAGCAGGCCACTTGCAGCAAAATGTTTAGGGCCATGTTAAATGCGACATTGTGTGGCTGGTGAGCCAAAGGAATGAAGTTGTTTTGCTTTGGGTGTTGACTGTGGCCGAGCAGCAGCAAGAGAACCACACCTGTTCTGCTTTTCTGCAACCCCCTCCATCCACCTCCCTCTTAGAGATAAACCAGTGTTTTAACGTCTTTCGGCTCATTGTTTTTGGTTTTGCGGCCTTCACTGTTTTGGTTCAGTTTTTAGAAGCAGACAGCTGTCTAAAAAAAATAAAAGTTCCACAAACTCGCTGTATGCTACCTGCCGAGACCAAGTGGAAACCTCCGCTGCTGAGAAATTAATGTCAAAAGTGCCAAAAACGGCAGTTCTTCAAATGGCCACTTGAGGCCCTTAGACCTCCATGTTAAAGGATTTTCAGCAGAAATAAACATGTTTACAGCCCGGTAGAAAAAATGGTTTTGGTCTCAGCTAATTTCCCCGTTCATGACAAGTGTATTGGGGGGGGGGGATTTTTATACAACTCACATGTTTAAATTATATGGAGGTTTAAAGTTGGGCATAATTGAGGGTGTGGCCACTTTCAGTGACAGATGGGCGTTGTCTCTAGCTGTCTGCTCTGCTTCACAATGCCTCTTCAGAAACCCATGGGCCCAGACACTCAAAGTTTGCAGCTCGGTAGTGATCATAGTGGAGCATTTAGCAGCTAAAGAGCCAGATATTTCCCCTCAGGAGTCTTCAAGCACAGAGCCTATGTGACAGTGATTGTTTGACATAAATCAGGTGGCCTGAAACACAACTTCATATAAAAACGCTAAAGTTGCTCTGTTTCTGCTGGATGTGTAGAGGCAATTGTTTGCTAACATGTTTGCCATGATGACTTTAAAGGGTTATGGTATGTCAATGTTGTGTTTACAGGTTGCTCTGCTAACCCGAATTGGCCAAACCAAAAAAAATGTACTCTGCTTTAAAGTTGGGTCTAATTTAAATACGAATTAACCATCAGGGAGGGTTGTAGACTTAACTACTATAACAATGAAGTCTGAAGTTTTTTTAAGACTTCTGGACAGGTTTCACATGGCTCAACCCTAAATATTTTACTATGGATGGATGGATGGATTGAAATTACCTGCTATCAGTATGTAAAAGTTAAACAATTATATTGTCTTTGTAAGGAAAATATAATCAAAAGCAACGTCATTTTGATTATCAATATGATTTACTTGCAATTTGTTGATGAAGACTTGGACTCGCCCTTAAAGACTTAAAACTTGACTTGGACTTTTTAATAGGACTTTACCATTTCCACAAACATGCATGAAGCACCAGGTTCGCCACGACCGTGTGGCTGTTAACAGTCTGAGCTGCACAACCCAGAAAGACTGATTCACCACAGGTACAGGAATGGGTGCATGAGTCAAAATGTTGTATGCCTGAAGCTGTACGGAAAGAGACGCGCTGTGGAGGATGATCTCCAGGCTAAATGAAGACAATGGCACGTGAGTCAGCGGTAAAGATCAGACGCTGTGTAACGGTGCAAGCTGGTTACGTGTGAAAAGTCTGCTTCTCTAGGTCTACAATGCCAGTGAGTAATTAACAGTGTAGACGAATGAGTAACTGGAACATCTGGGTGTGAAATGGAAGAGATTATAAAAGAGAATTCAAACTAAGATGATGAGTTCTAGGATGGATTAATCAGAATAACTGGGAAAATCCCACATGAGCCGACACATGTTAATACTTGAATGTCACACCAGTTTAGTCTCAGCCTGCCTTACTACGCTCAATTCACAACAACTTTGTTAGCTTCCTTATTGACATTTCCCTATAGAGTGCTGCAGGGATGACATTTGTGTAGGCCAACCCGGAAAACACTGGTTTCATCGACAAAAAGCCAATAGGATTTTTTCCATTGGATTTTGGATTACTTCAGAAAATACGATCTGTGGTTAGCACACGTTTTGTTCAGCAAGATAGTCTTCGCAAATGACCACCACTTTTATGATTCTGGAATGCAATTGTTGAAGTAAAAAGCTAACGTTTAGGCTATAAACCAACGACACCACGGTCACATGAGTATACACAACGAGGCTGTAAATGCGGACTAATCGGTGTCAGTCACTTGTTAGCAACCGCCTTTTTTAAGACACCTAAAAGCTTTAAAACTCACGAGAGGGGTATTTACTGACATGTTTTATTCATATTTTATTTATTAACCAAAAACCCATTCAAAAAGCCATTGACTTAGAGACGAGGGAACCAGAAGAGCACAAAATGCTGATTCATTTCCTGGTTTTAAGTCTCATTCCTGCAGAATTTTGTATCTACTTATTTCTTTGTGAAAATGAATTCCACTGAACTCACATAATTTTCTTAAGTAGTCAGCAGTAATATCCAAAGAATGCTTGTCATGAGTGTCTCACAAGTTCTCAGTTGAAACAGGTGTATTTGAGTGGGTGTGTGAGCACAGCTGAGGAAACTTAGTGGTCGTGCCTCAACACGCAGGAATGCTTTATACAACCCTGTCCGGTCCAGGTGTACGTATAGATGCTGATGTACTTGACTAGACCTCTTTTCTTTTCCCAGTATTTACATGTTGAAAGACTCCTAAATATATGACAAAACAGAAACCGGTGGAGATAAACCAAAATAAATAGACCTAATAACTTATTTTTCAAAAATAAGTTTTATTTTAACAAGCTTTGTAATTTTCCATGGCAACATCTTGGAGGCAACGAGAAATCCTTCTTAGTAAAGTTGAAATTCAGGTGTTTTTTTTTCAAAACTGTATGTGTGAAACTTTTTTAAAGCCAAAGACGATTTTAAGTTGATGGTCAAGACATGTCTTTTTTTTCGTCCAGAAGAAAAAGCAGTTAAGTATTTATTAGATGTCATAACAAAATGCCAACAGTTAACAACTCAAGAGCTGAATAGCCGCAGGGACTGTTCATGAACCACTCAGAGTCAGATGTCCTTCTGCAAGTGACATAGATGTTATATGCTACATAGGGAAATAGCTGTGGCTAGCTGTAGATGTGAAGATAGTCACAGATACAGCCATTTGAATGACTAGACAAATGGTGGAACTGAAAGCCACACATCTTCTTAATATCTTTGAATAATCCAGGAAAACAGGGAATCCCCAGAAAGGGAATCTAATAAAGCACACGCTCATCCGCTGTATGACCACACACAAACCTCGACATCCAGACGTGTAATTTATTTAGATTTACACAAGTGGCCTAATGAAAACCCACTGTTACCGATAATGACGGTAGTTTGTGCAGTTTTGGAAAGTGAACTCTGAACAAACTGCCCCCAGAAAACATGTCCAAAATATTCATAAAGTGGAAATGGACTTTATGAAAAGCAATGACGGCTACTCAGTCAAAGCACAGATGTTGCTGTTAACATTTAGTTTAGTTTAGCTTAGTTTAGCTTTAGTTTAGTTTATTCTGCACAATTCTAAAAATACACAAACATAAATAATAGCACAGTGCAGGAAGAGGCAGACAGAGATGGGCGAAAATACATCAAAATGTATTTTGATACAAAATACAAAATACCCCTCAAAGAAATGTATCAAAATAAAATACAAAATACTGGTGCCAGAAAATGTAACAAAATACAATACATGTATTTTGTATTTAAAATATAGGAAATACTTTTTTCTGGATTTTCCGATTTCTCACAATTTGGTATAGCAGAGCATTCAGGTTTGGGCTATATAATGTACACAAAGCTCTGGTGAAGCCCACACAAAGGAAGAACAGTCACAGACATGTCAGTGTAACTAAGCACATCTGTGCTTGTTGATGGTCCTTCTTGAACATCATCTTACTGAGACATGTTGTCCACCTGGCCAACTGTAAAATGTATGAAATAATAAAACTAAGAATACTTTCATAATATGCCTTTTTAAATAAAATATATTGGATATTTGATGTTTTTAGTTTTTTTTAACAAATGGACATCTACTGTCATAGCCTGGCTAACTGTGAACTATATTATCTGCCAGTAATTGATATGGCATTATGACATTCACATTGAGACAGTGTGCATTTTATACCTGGGCCTTCACTGCTGTCCTGCAGCTGAAATACCACCTTATAACCACATGACGGCGCCACAGCAATTATTCGTTTTTAAGGCTGTAACTATGTACGTCTTCGTATTAAACTGTTCAGTACGAGTCTTACAATACGTTTGAATAATATTAGAGCATCTGGAAAATGCAGAGATCATTTTAGGATTTTATTTTCACAATTTGAACATTGAACGTATTGCTCTGCAATGTCTTTCCCCGGCTCAGCCCCGTGTCACGGTGTGTGGTAAATCTCAGTCAGTCAGGAAACTTGTCAGAATGCCCATATTTGATTGGTTGAGCTGCATCACGTGATGCGAGTCACTACGCCGACTAAGCCTCTGCTGTTAAGTTTCGTTTCACGATAGTCACATGCTCGCCCACTGACCAATCACAGCACACTATGCACCTCACTGCAGAGCTGCACATGGACACTGAGCTGTATGTTAATGCTGACGTAGTTGTAGGCCAGCTAGCAGGCTCTGACACGTCAAAGAATACGCCCAACATGTCAAACTAAAGATCTGATTGGTTGAAAACTATGACAATCAACAATATCGTCCCCATTCACTTAAACTGCACATGGATGCACTTGTGAGTCTGCAGGCCTCGGGCCTCTCTTCTTACCTAGAGACACAGAGGTGAAATCTGATTGGATAAAAGCTCTACTTAAAACAAGCTGCACTGGAAGCAGAGCAACTGAGGAAGACAGGAGCTGTGCAATGAGAAAATAAGATAATGGGAAAATATTTTTATATTAGAATATTATGATATTATAATTATAATACATGTAGTGTATTTAAGAAAAAATATTAAATTATAAAATAGATATAGCTTTGTGATTCTGTTTAGGCCAGCAGAGAAGGCCTTGCAGGCCCTGACGGCCCGCAACTGCATTGAGAAGATACAGCATAATTTGTAATATAGTGCAAGATTAGCTGGTCAGACGTCTCTTAAGGTTATCATGAACATACAAGCTCCCAATCTCCCTCTTCCTATATAGCTAGCTACTCGACTGATAAGTGAACTTGCTAAACACTGGCTATGCACTAGCCTAGACAGCATGCTAGCGTCATTAGCATGTTAGCATCGAGCTTGATATTATAACTGTCACCATGTATATACAATAGGCTATGTAGCCAGACCCAGACATAAATTATACATCAAGCTAGTTGAATCTGTCACACAGATAAAATATTTACCTTGACAGATAATCCACTGAACTTGAAGATCTGCAGACTGAACTCTTGAACTGTTTTTTGATTCGTGGAGAAAGTATTTTGAGTATTTTAAATACAGAATTACTCCACTCTAAAGTATTTTGTTACAAATTACGTTCGATTTTTATCGGCCCTATCAAATACAAATTACAAAATACTCAAAAGTATTTGAAATACAAGTAATAGAAATACTGCCCATCTCTGGAGGCAGACAACCCACTGGGCTTATTTGAAGCCTCCACCTATTTAACATTAAAATGTCACAATAATATAGAGAACACAAAATTAATATAATATGACTATTGTGATATTAACATTATTTCCAATAAGCCAAGACAGCGTGACAGTGAGCCAAAATCTGAAACCGAGGCAACTAAATGGAATCCAGCCATCATTAATTTGATTGTTTACATCTGTGTTTTCCTTCTGTCACTCAAGTGTCACAGTAGACGTTACCGCCCCGAGACGTTTCTGTAGTTCGTTGCTGCTCTCTGGTGTTTCACTGAAGGTATTGCGGCACTAGCACTCGTGCACTGGGAGGGCTCCACTTTAGTCCACTAGCAGGGAGCCGAGGAGCCTGCAGCAATCATATTTTAAAGCGGGAGACTCTGCTCCGGAGGCCCCGCCGCCACCGGCAAGGTGATGGTCACGTGACAGACGGAGATATCCGAACTGTCTCTGGCCGAAGGCATCAGCAGGTTACTTTCCAGTAGTATTTCACCGGGGTACACTTAATATTGAAACACTGTCAAATACGTAGCTAATGCCAGTGGTAGAAATAACTTATACGTGTGTTTAATGTACTACATGTAGCGCATAAACTCTGAGGAACTTTACTTTAAGTTCACTTTATACATCCACTTCACTACTTTTCAAAATAAAAGATTGTACTTTGTACTCCACTACATTCATATGCCAGCTATTGTTAAAATGTTACATACATGATACATGTTATGCATTATTAAAGTATTATTACAATTTTTAAATAGTTTTAGCTACAAATACTACAACCAGCTACATTATAATCCGCCGTACATGTTGTGCATCAATAATAACCAAACACAAAATATTGTAAACATGTTTATGCATTTTATTTTTGATACTTGGTAGCCTACATTTTGCTTATCATTAAGAGTTTTCTGAAGTATTTATTGTATAATATGAATGCAGGGTTTTGACTTGTAATTGACGTTTACTCATTTGATTACTTTGACAAAGGACCAGAAAACTTCTTCCACCACACTGAATGATATTGTTCAACATTGTATTAATAATCTTCACAAACAGTGGAGCAAGTCATTGATGTATAATTTGAGCTGGATGGCAGTGCTAGCAGATTAGCTCCAGTGCTAACTCGGCTGCCTCCGTCGACCATGTGACTCTGGTGTTGCAGGTCGGAGCTGTTCCCCGCGAGTATCTTCTCTGGTGCAGCTTTAGGTTGGTCAAAACATGTTCCGAGCTCTGATTGGTCAGTGATTTGATGTTGTCTTCTCTGATTGGTTGAATAAAACAGGGAGGTCCGGTTCCTCTTGAGCGTTCTTCCGGCTTATACGTTGGAAAAAAGAAAAGACGAATGGAAAAAATAGTAATCCACAAAACGACCATTGCCTAGTTCCTCTGTAATACGGTAACATCTGCACACATGTAGATACTTGTTTGTTTGTTTAGCCCTCTGAAGTTTACACCGTTGTACTATTTAGAAAGTTCAGGGTTTAGCTCGAAAAGCAGGCGGCAGCAGGGTTAGCGATTTCAACGTTAGCCTGCTGCTAGCTAAGATAGCTGGCTAACAAGGTAGCTTTTTAGTTGTAAGGTTACCGGAGGTTACCGGTTAACGGTGAGCATTGCTGAGCACACATAGTTTGGTCACATCGACGCAGGCAGTCGACAACTCGCTTCTTTGCTCAAACTTGATATTTGATTAGCAACGATACAGTTGAGTCATTATGTTTTTGGCCACATAACGGTAAACAAAGGTTCACAAAAATGGTATTGTCTTGTCTTTCATGGTACAAATGTCTTTATAACAGTACCCCTTTTTATCTGCACCATTTGGTTAACGTTAATGTTGTCGACTTGCCTCCGTTTTATTTTGCATTTTGTGACAGTAGCCTGTTTATCTCCCCGCGCCGCCTATAAAGGGTTAACAGCTCGGCTTTTATTGTTGTAGCCGCCGTACATGTTTACTGTTAGGAGTGCGATTATTAACGGAGTTCAAATCTTAATGATACCTCCAGTATGTCCGCTACTGGAATTAATGTACAATCTTGATCCTATTTTAGGTCATAATTAGTTAAAATGAGCTCCCAGCAATTCCCCCGACACGGGCTACCAGCCTCCAGCGGGGGAGCTACTCAGATCCCTGCAGCTGGAAACCTGGTGTCCGTCAATCAGCCGTCACATCCTCAAGGTAACCTATTGTCACTGAAATGTACTCGCAGGGTATTTCATACATGACGATGAAGAAACCTGTAAGTAAATGTTCAATCCGACTATTTTTTCCACCCTAGGCGGTGGAGATGCTGACAGCGGTCGGGATGCTGACCACAGGCAGCAGGACCATCCACCCGCGGCGGGCGGGGGAACCTTGTCCTTCAGAGATGAGAAGCAGGAGACGATGGTGGTTCGACCTTACCCACAAGTACAGACGCACGGCCAGCCACAAGCTACCCCCCAGACCGTGCCTATTCAGCCCGGCACACCTGTGACTGTAGCTGCCCCCTCTGTCCACCTCCCACAGGGCCAGCCTGCTGTCCTCACTGAGGGCCAGATGAAGGTGATGGTTATGACCACAACTGTTCATGTATAGAGGATTTGTCTACATGTTAATAGTAAAGTATGTAGTGTCTTTACTGTCTTCAGTGTGAGATGAACACAGTCAAATCATACATAAGTTGGCAGAGATGTGAATTTTCTTTCTGTAGTGAGAAAACAATAAGCTGATGCTGACTGATTTATTCTACTTCTGTTAATAGCTGTCTAAATAGTTCATGTTTTTAGTCATTATTGAACCCTGTGACTGAAAGATATTATATTTAAATATCTTCAAAAGCAGCTTCTTTTTTAATCATGCAGGCAGTGAAAACATTTTAAAGATCTAGTTGATGTTTTTTAAACTTCGATAATAAATTGTTCCTGGTGTCCTTAAACTTGAAGGACTTGGAAAGCTAATTATTGTGCTCGATAACTAGCTTACCAATAACATTTACTGGAAACTGGCCATGTGCACAACCTACAATACAATACAATACACAACCTTACAATTACTGTGTTTTACTGCAACATGTTGCATTTGTGTTAACTTAACATTGCTTTTTTTGTAGCACTGTTCTTAGCACCATTGTGAGCTAAAAAAAACCTAAATGTATTTATTTTTGTTTAGGCTGTCCTGAAGTCACCTATGCCAAGTCGTCTTATTGCCCCAGCACCAGCTTCCAACCAGGGTCATATCCCCATACCCCCCAAGGTGCCCGGTCACATGACTGTCACCATAGAGAGCAGTATTGCTCCAACCCCCTCTATTCCTGTGGCAACTATCAGTGGTCAGCAGGTGAGTGCTCTGTCAGTTGGCTGTTGGTGCACGTTATTGTCTCTTTCTTGCTAATGACTGAAGTTGTGGGCTCCTTTTTATTGTGTTTCAGGGTCACTCGAGCAACTTACACCACTTGATGCCAGCAAACATTCAGATCATCCGGGGCAATGCCCCTGCACTGCAGATCGGGACCCCTCCGGTGCCACCCCAGACCTTCACCTCCCACTTACCCCGAGGTATGCATGATGTACTAAGAACAGCGTGCCAGGCTCCATGTTTGCCTGTCCTTGACACGGTAGACCATTTCCCACTCGTCTGTGGCGGTGCGTTTCTCTACATCAGTCTATTGCTTTCCCTGTAGGGGCTGCTGCAGCAGCTGTTATGTCCAGCTCCAAAACGGTCCTGCGACCAGCCACCGGAGCAAGTGCGGGCTCCGGCCAGCCCACAGTGCAGCACATCATCCACCAGACAATTCAGGTACCGGGATGCACTGTCATCCGAAGATGTGCTGGTATAGAGTGGTGCAGGGATGATATATTTTTGAGGGCCAACCCCCGGAAGTTAGCATCGACCTGGTTCCCTCGAAGAAAAGCCGATGGGATATTTCCATTTGGATTATTGCAGAAAATAAACTCTGTGACAAACACTAGTTTATGTTACTTGCACATCTGTTCAGGACCTCATTGACTTTGAGACGAGGGAACCGGAGGTGCAAGAAATGTGGACTCATTTCCGGTTTTGAGGACTCATTCCTGCAGCACTCTTATCTTGTTGGACATTTAGAAAGTTTGTGTGTAACCGTGTCATCCTCCCACCGTCCACAGTCCCGCCCTGCCGTGACAACGTCCACAGCCGTGCTTCCGACTGTGGTGGCGCCCATTTCCAGAACTCAGTCCCCAGTCATCAACCCAACAGTCACACACTCTGCAGAGGTGACACATGGGTAAGTAGCAGTCCCGAGAATGTGTTGACAACATGACTAGGAGTTTAACAGCAAAGTAGAACCAAACAGTTTGTGGTGATCGGTGGACCTGCCCCTGTTGTGACTGCATGGTAAAGTATATGTTTCTATTCTCCTTTTTAATTCCTTAAAAGTCATTTGTGTTCTTCAATGTAGTGTTATGTGGATGAAGTTATCCAGTGCAGCTTTAAAGCAGTTAGTGAAACAGTATAAAATTAGCACAATGGGTCTGTGTGTGCATCAGAGTAATTGAAACAGCTAAAAGAGAAAAGTCACTAAAACAAGTAAACTTTTGTGTAACATGAATATGAGTTCTTGCACTGGCAGTTCCCTCTGGGCTTTTATCAAGCCATGCCTGTGCGATTTAGTGCACTAAAGGGACAGTCTCTCTGCCCCACCCCCCCCATCCCCCAGGCGTCCAGGGCTGACCATTCACCCCCCTTCGGCCACCGTCAGTATTCAGAGGTCTCAGACATCCCGTGACACCGCCACGCGGATCACGCTGCCGTCCCACCCAGCGATCGGGGCCCAAAAGCCTCAGCCTCCGCACACCATGACACAGGTTACTGCCTCTTTATGACTTCCTGCAAAATAACTACTCCTTTTTTATACAGTGACTGACATAACAGCTTTTTTTTAAAAAAAAAAAAAAAAAAAAAAAATGTTTATCTCCCCACAGAAGCCCATCTTCAGTCCTGTAACACCAGTAGCTGCGGCAACTGTGGCGCCAATCGTTGCCTCCAACACTGTGCCATCAACCACCACAATAGGTTTGACCTTTTTGTATATTTATGCCGACAAGCTCGACCCAAAACTTTGACTAAAGAAACATGAAATGAAATGAAATAAATAGTGCAGTTATTTATTTATTATACACCTTCCTTCTCCATGTTTAGGGTCTGTGCCACACAGCCAAATGTCCAGTAACTCTATTGTCACCATGACAATGGCCTCGCACTCCTCTCATGCTGCAGCGGTGACCACCTCTGCCATCCCCGTTGGTAAGCTGGCCGCTTGGTCTCCACGGTTGGAACATTGTTGCGTGCTTCATAAGCAGGAGGCGTTCTCTCAATCTGAATCAGCTCATAGTGCATTGTATTACATCTTTCTCTCTTAACTGTTCCTCTGTGTTGTGTACAGCTAAAGTCGTCCCTCAGCCCATCGCCCACGCCTCGACCCGTGTGCAGCCTGACTACCCCGGAGAGAGAACCAACCTCATCCCCATCTCGGGCCATCGGTCGTCTCCTAACCCCGTCACCATGGAAGCAAGAAGTGACAACAGGTGAGCGCACAATGTTGACCAACTGACGCGGTTATCGCAGGTGAAAAAAGAGACAGTCTGACATCTGATATCCAATATTTGTTTGAAAATGTGTAACACAATGGAATGGAATCTGCATTCTCAGCGTGTTAGTATTTCTTTTACTAAACAGAAACACTATAGACGTATATTTCTGCAAAGAGCTCAGTTGTGCTGCCTTCTTGTCCTCTATTTATATTCGCTATTGCCCACAAATTTGGCCACTGTGGTCAAAACAGAAACGGACGAGTTGTACATAGGTGTAATCTAAAAGGGATCGGCACATTGAGCTGGAAGTATTGACTAAGTAGTGAGCAGTAATCAACAAGTATATATTCATATACTAAGTAACAAGGCTGTACTTGGCACTAAGCCCAAAGCATCACTGTGTCCGATGTGCTGGGGTTTGTGTTGATAATGTTCACCATCTTAGTTCAGCGTATTAGCTTGAATTCACAAAGTAAGATGTTGAGACTAGTTGAAAAGTCAGGGATCACCAAAATTCTTATCATTCATACGTGAATGTCTCCATAAAAATGTCATGCCAATCCATCCAGTAGTTATTGAATGAATATGAGATCCATATCCTGTTGTTGTTGTTGTTGTTGTTGTTGTTATTAGGAATGATCTTGTATTTACATCCATCACTCAGTTTGTAAAAAGAAGAAATGAAATGTGATCAACATGTATTAACCTCAGAAGTACAAAGACTTTGTTCAGATGACGATGAGTGTCGGAGTAAACTTGTATGTTTTATTTTGAAGGCCCTCGGTGCCTGTGCAGTTCCAGTATTTCCTGCCGGCGTACTCCTCCTCGTACCCTCTGACACACACATACACCCCCATCAGCAGCTCTGTATCCACCATCCGCCAGTATCCTGGTAAGCTCTGTCACAGCTGACCACTGTGGTGACCTTTTGTTATTTGACTTATAAAAGCTATAAAAATCGTACCTATGAAATGTGAAACCGGAGGGTTACACCTGTAACTCCTATTGTCCCGCGTCATAAGTTACTCCTCAAGCTCCAAGTTCAGCGCTGCCCACCCAAGGCGGAGTCGGCGTGGCAACCACTGTCCATCTAAACCACATGCAGCTGATGGCGGTGGATCGGATCGGTCTCCCATCTGCGCAGATCGGCACCCAGGGGATCCAGCCGGCGGCCATCGCCGCACAGGGCATCCAGCCCGCACCCATAGGAGTGCAGGGCCTGCACACGTCTGCGCCGATCGGCACGCAGGGACTACAGCAGGCGCCGTTACTCACTCAGCAGCAACAAGCGCAGTCTGAAGCCAAACCTGGTAATTACTGAACCTGTACTGCTTCACTGGTGTTGACTGAGCTTTGCTGAGTTGCTGTGAGTTGTTTTCTATTTCTTTCTCAGGGGTTGTTTTGGCCGATGGCTTTGTGGCGAGCCCCATCAGCAGCACGTTCAGCACCACCCAGCCAGTGGCCACCATGGTACAGGCGCACGCCCAGGGAGGGGTAGGAGGAGCCCCCACCCTGGTCTCCTCCCCTAGACCCAGCATCCTCCGCAAGAAGCCCGCTAATGAAGGGTGAGTAGAACACCAGCTGTCAGATTCAGCAAAGTTTCAGAACTTTGAATTGCTTGTTTTAACCTCCTGCCTACGAGCAGTTGTGCGTTTGTTAGATTTGATAATTGCCGAAATAAAGAAGGAAACGTTAGACAACAAAATGTCAGTCTAAAGCAGCGACATGTCACATTTCTCGAGAGTATCTCTTGCCTGTCGTCTGAGTCATTACGGACTGTGGTTACCTTAACCCTGACCTGCTTTCAGACCTAAACAGGAAAACTGGGTTTACGTCCCCCTCCTCCCATTTATTGTAGGACTTGTTAGACGAGGCTTTTCACTGTCACATGATAGCAGGTTGATTGTCAGCATTAGATTCTCCAAATACAGTTTGACAGAAACGTGTGACGGTCCAAACAGGGTCGCTAAATATTTCACTTTTCACCAAACCAGATGTGTTCGCAAGAACCTGATCCCCGCCCAGCCGAGTGAACCCAGTAGCGGCAGAATGGAGAGTGGCGTGAGGGGAGCCGGATCTCCCCGACCCGCAGGGTGAGCCTTCGTTACACGGATCACATCAGTTCTATCCGCGTCGTTATAAGTTATGAGTCTGTAACCCGACGTTTCCGATCCTTCCCTCCAGCGTGAAACCCAAAGCTGAGGTCCACATGGCCGTGGCCCCTCCTGTCATGGCTGCAGTAGAGGCCCTGCCTTCACAGGGAGGAGAGCAGCAGGCCGTGTCCTCAAACGCCCAGCACCTCGCCCAAGCTATCCCCGCCATGCTCGCCACGCCGGGGCCTGCGCCTCCCTCCCAGGCCTCCACTGTCGTCTCAGCCCTGCCCGCAGCCATTGCTGTAACTCCCCCGGCTCCCGCTTCGATGGCCAACACAGTGGCCTCCCCCACTCAGCCCGCGGCCAGTAGCACCGCTGCTTGTTCTGGCAGCTCCGCCTGCCCCGATTTGACAATAAAGCAGGAAATGGAGACCATGGACACCTCACAGCCAGGTAGCAGCACATCGGTCATTAAAAGTGAAATCGATTAATGTTGAATTAAATAGGAAACGAATGAACGCAAGGAAACCGAAAACAAACGCATAAGTAAACATGTTTTTCTCTTCCCCTCAGATCCCAATGCAAACTTGTCGTCAGCCCCAGCTCTCACCACCCAGGCCTCCACCCTGAACTCTTCTGCTACGGGAGATCTGATACCCGGGGCCTCCCCGAGGAAGAAGCCCCGCAAGCAGCAGCACGTCATTTCCACCGAGGAGAGCGAGATGGTGGAGACCAACAGCACGGATGAGGAGAAGGCCCCAGGCAGGCCCATCACCGGCAGGGCGGAGAGGCGGGAGTCTCCACCGAGGGAATACGTTGGTGCGTAATGTGATGCCAACCAATGTCGCAGTGATCGTGATGATTATGTGTAATCAGCACTTTTTACATTTTTGTCTTCCAGATGAGGAGGGAGTGCGTTATGTACCAGTCAAGCCCCGACCGCCTGTTACGCTCCTGCGGCACTACAGGAACCCCTGGAAAGCTGCCTACCACCACTTCCAGAGGTACAGCGACATCCGGGTCAAAGGTCAGTGGCTTTCTTGCCTATATTTGATACAGCGAGCGGGAACGAGTGCTGGAGGCGTTTTTCTTTCTAACAACAACCGTTTGCTTGTTTCTCAGAGGAGAAGAAGGGCAGCTTACAGGACATGGCCAACCAGAGAGGAGTGGCATGCAGAGCACAAGGCTGGAAAATCCACCTGTGCGCTGCACAGCTCAGACAGCTGGTGAGTGCTGCTGTATAACTCTGTAGTATTGTTTATCTTCATGGAAATTCTGAGTGATGTCCATGAAGGTTACGTTTGGTTGGTGGCTTTTCCTATTGGTTCGTAGTTAACATGCTTGTTACTTGATCTGTAGTCGAGTTTGGAGCACGATGTGTACAGCCGCCTCTCCACCCTTCAAGAGGGCCTGATCCCTAAGAAGAGAGCCGGCTCCGATGACGACCTTCACCGAATCAACGAGCTCATACAGGTACGGCTGTTTACTGCAGACTGACTGACGCCTTTTTAAATAGGAATTTCTATTTCTTTCTTTCTATTACTATTTCTATAAAATATGACATTCTTTATATATATATGTATGTATGTGTGTGTGTATGTGTGTGTGTGTATATATGTGTATATGTGTGTATGTATATGTATATATATGTGTGTGTGTAAATTGCTGCTGGACTGCCCCATTAAGACGGGTGCGACCCAGTGCAAACTGTGTCTTTTTGACCACAGTGAAAATAGCAACAAATAAAGTTTAATAAGTCTATCAAAATAATCCTTTTGATGTAAATAACATGGATTTTTGAATGTTCCGGAGTTGTTTGGATCACATGAGTTGGAAGCATTCCGAAAACAAACAATCCTACGCAGTCGCCCCTGGAATCTACAGATAGTATAATACTAAAGATATCAGTATCGCCTGATCTTTATCTGCAACTGTGGTTGATCGTGTTGAAGTGCTACGAATCGAATGAAATGTTGATTTACAATTTGAATGTCGACGTTACGAATGAAGCTTCAGAATATTCAGTTCAGCCCAGTTTTGTTAAAAGTTTTTCTGTACTTTATTCTGTCCCGGTTATGTTTGATAAGGTTTAGAAGCCTTGGTAAAACATTACGAAAGCTGCTCTCTCTTTGTCTTCACCCACAAATTTCAACAGCTGACGGTGACTTTGCGTTTGATCCACAGGGTAACATGCAGCGCTGCAAGCTGGTGATGGACCAGGTCACTGAGGCCAGAGACACCATGATGAAGGTGCTCGACCACAAGGAGAAAGTGCTGAAGCTGCTCAACAAGAACGGCGCCGTCAAGAAGTCCTCCAAACTGAAGCGCAAAGAGCGGGCATAAGCTAGGGCCCCCCCCCCCCAGAGTGAAGAAGCTGCTCAGAATCTGGTGCTATGAGTTGCTGCATACAATCTCACACACACACACACACACACACACACCCTCTATCTGCCCGAGAGCAGACTGAGAGAAGTGACGGGAGGACTTCAACAAGCAGACCAGCCCATCAGGAATGGGTTCTCATTCAAGACCCATCGCACATATTGAGCGTGGAGCATTGTAGGTTGCATTATAGTGGCCAACTGGACGGCCCTGTCACTGTCCCCCCCCCCTTTTTTTTTTTTTTTTTGTCAATTTTTAAAGACCCCAGAGACCGTTTCTTACTAACTTAAGTTCTGCCTCTTCTGTTAAGGACGTGTGTGAACTGGCACATTATGTTATCTGATAATATTTGGCACTAAGCGCAGTTGCAGTAGATACTGATGGAAGTATTTCAGTTCAGAGTTATTGACGGCTGGGTCCAATCCAAATCATCTAAAAGGAGTCCCTTTAGTAGGCTGTGTGTATGCAGACTGAGCTCAGTCGTGCTCTTTTCGTTAATCTGTGCCTTCGTTTTGTGGGTGTACGTGAAATGGACGGGGACACGTGAAAGCTCTTCCACGTGCTGTCAAAATATATTCTGAAAAAATCATTCAGAGCGTCGGGTCAACTTCACTGCTTCCCCTTTTTCCTCCCAACATCCTGCACCTGCTGTTTTCTATTTCAGTATTTGTTCATCTAGTATGGGTACAAAATGACCCGATTACCAGCCACAAGTTTAGCTGCAACCTAAAAGATATTGAAATACTTACATTGGTTGAGTCGACGCAAAAGAAAGGACACTGCATAATGCAAAGTGAACTTTACATTTACACTGCCATGAATCCAAAGTAAATGGATGTCATGGTGGTAAAAGCGATACTTTCATTCGCTTTCAGAAAATGAGAGCTTGAAAGAAAGAGAGCCGAGTATCCTCGCGCTGTCACACTGGGGGATTGAATTCATGTAAATCACTGTAAATGTGCTTTTTGGTTTTTCCATTGACCTGGTTCTTTTCCAGTTTTGTACTCAATGAAACATTTCGTGCCGTGTGGTGTGGTGTGTCGCCTCATTTTGCAGAGTGTAACGGTAATAACGTTACGAGATGAAGCGAGCCCGAAACATCCAGCTGTTGTACATTGTTTTTGTCTGTGTAATTATAGTAAAGATACTTAAACCATACCAGATACACTGTTAAGTCTGCATATTTCTGTGTTTTTTTATTTGAGTGTTTTCATTTTACCACTTAAAATTGAAAATGTATTGTTTTTGCCTTTTTCACTTTAATTCCAGTTAACCAGTTGTGGGTTGCATTCATTCAATCGCACAATACAGCAGTGGTCGCTGCAGACGCCCCTGGTGGAAATCTTTCCAGTTCATTGTGCTTTAAAAAAAAAACGTAACCGCAGTCGGTTACCAAACGGGATAAACTGACCACGCCTGAGGACAGATGGTCAAATTGCAAGATTATTGCTTTACAGTATTATCATGGATCCCCATAAGGAGCACGCTCAGACACTGATCCTCGCATGTGATTACATCTCATTGTTATTAAATATGAAGAACCTACATTGTAACCCAACAGATTGTAGGATTTAAGCCGTGCCAATGTCGTACATCTGCAAATCTGTGTATCTTAATGGCTCAGTCTGTTCTGTTAATATTGTCCCCGGCCACACAGCTGGTATGGATGGTATGAGCCATTTAATCCAGCAACATCACATTGGTACATCTCTCCTCAGTCACTCCTCTTTACTATCTGCTGTTTACAACTTAATTGCCGTGAATTACAGCGCAACGCGTTGGCAGCACTTGACTTGTGACTGGATCAGGAAAAAGTGACTTGCTATTCTCCTTTTAGCGTTATTACTGAGACCAGCTGACTGACTACTGGCTTGTCTGTTGATCATCATTCAATATTTCTAAGAAGAATCTTTATTTTTAACATTCTGTGTCATATCCCTTATATTTATTAGACACGTGTTTTTATATTGTTTGAGGTAGAAAGCTGTACTACTCTCTCTCTCTCCACTAGCATGGTTTTTAAGTAGCCGCACGGCTGTTAACTTAAAGGGAAAGAACGTTTATCATCTTTACATTACCATCAAATATTTGACTGTTAATTGCAGTGATAACCCTTGAAGTGGATGCTCAGTGACACTGGGTGGCTCTACCTTTTGCAGGAGCAAAGTCAAAGGGCCATAAAGAGGTGTTTGCTGGGAAAACTCCCTTCTTCCTGGTTCATAAGTCATTCAAAGAAAAAAGCTCCCTGAGCGGCAGCAGCGGGGGCTTCCACCAAAGACCCAACTATTCTCAGGTAAGGGCCGAAGAATCACATGTCTCCCAGTGTCTCTTGTTTCCAAAGAGGTAACTTCACTGTGTTTGTTTTTTTATTATGACTTCCATTGTGACCTCATAATTCTATATAGAATCATTAATAGAAGTGTCTTGAAAGTGAAAGTTATTGTGTTATCATGCTAAAATGAGACTTTATAGAATTGTGTATAGAAATTAGAAATAAGTAATATTGAAGGATCCCAAAACTGTCTTGTAATTTAAAATATTTTTTATTTTATATTAAATAACATTTACAGTATGTTGCTATAAATAGGTTGAGGCGTGGTCCACACTGTTAAAGCCTACCGAGTAGACCTAACTAATATTGGTTTGGTAGCAGGTTCAGTTAATTGTAATTACTGTAACTGGGCTAAATCTGAATTAAGATAATATTCTATTTACAGACTTAATCCAGGTTTCTGCTATGCTGCATTTGAGTAAGGTAAGAATGAGTATCTCAGTAATATACACACATAGTTCTAAAAATCCATGATGCCCACTTAGTCATTTTGAGAATAGTTCTTTGGGTATGGCATTTTGTATTACAATGCTTTCCCCCAACTAGGGGGACTTTGTATGGGTGGACTCTGGTGTCGGGGTGCCGATCGGGGCGGAGGTCGAGGTGACCGACACCGGACAGCTTCAGCTGATCGATGATGAAGGAAAGGTACAAAACCCTACAAGACATTGCCTTTTTTTTTTCAGGTACAGAAAAAAGGACCTCTCTATCTGTCGATCAACTCTTTTATTACATACACACAGGAGCACAAGATCAACAAGAAGACGGAGGGCGCCATCCGGCCCATGCACCCCACCTCTGTGAAGGGTGTAGACGACATGATACGGCTTGGTGATCTCAATGAGGCCGGGCTGCTCAGGAACCTCCTGGTGCGACACAAAGAAGGCATCATCTACGTAGGTTTCTATTCACCTGGATTAACTCTGAACCACCTACTTTTACGATGTCCATAACCTACTGTGGAAATGCTTAGTCGTCTGTGTCCTCCATAGCTGTGAATTGGCTTTCTGTTCGAGACTTTGCCCCGTGGTTTATCACAGTGCTGTTTGTCTCCATAGAGACGAATGAGTCTCTGCTGAGGGAGACCGCCCCAGTGTTTCTCTGTCATCAAAGCTCAGCAGTGTGTGTTCAATTATGAATCATTTAATTGTATGAAAAATACCACTGCTAAATGCTGGGGGGCAAAATTAGGCTGATATTGCTTTTGAGTTGCTTTTGAGTGCTTTATATATCATGAACCACAGCTTTTCATGATTCAAATCCATCCGTGAAATCTTTACATCTAATAAGTCATTACAAGCATTTCGTGCATTGTATGATGTGCTTCTAACACAATAACTTACTCACTCACTCATACACACACACACACACACACACTCCTCAACTGTGCCCCTCTGTGGTAGTTAACGTCCCCTTCTGTTTTTAAGACATACACAGGCTCCATTCTGGTGGCAGTCAACCCTTACCAGCTGCTGCCCATCTACACCACAGAGCAGGTGCACATGTACACAGATCGACGGCTGGGTGAACTGCCGCCGCACGTCTTCGCCATCGCAGACAGCTGCTTTTTCAACATGCGCCGCAACCAAAGGAACCAGTGCTGCGTTATCAGGTGTGCTTTTGTCTGAGGCTGATCCCAGATCATTATGGAGACAGTGTGGAAAGATTGATTAATTAATTGAATCCTTTAGGTAAAAATGACTGGTTACAGTTTCTCAAATGGATATATATCCTAGTTTCTGAAGTATTTCATGAAAGTGAACTGAATGTCTTTGAATATGTCAACTTAGGCATTTGTTGATATAGTATGGATCAAACAACTCGCCGGGGCGACTGTGGCTAAGTGGAGAGCGGGGCCGTCCTTCAATCAGAGGTTCGATCCCCGGCTCCGGCTCCGATAGTCGCATGTCGATGTGTCCTTGAGCAAGACACTTAACCCCAAAATTGCTCCCGTAGCTGTGCCTACGGTGTATGTGATAGAATCTGAATTGTAAGTCGCTTTGGATAAAAGCGTCTGCTAAATGACTGTAAAGTAATGTTATATTAGAGAAATGATTGATAAAAAAATTTGATAATTTCATTTACAGCCCTACAACATTACCACAGGTGGCTCTAAAAAAGCTACATAAGATAAATAGAAGATAAATGAATGAAAACAAAGACAAATAGATCACTGAAAAAATTCACGTTAAATTCGTGTTTCAATGAGACAAACTGTGAGAAACTTATTGGTGTCCAAGAGTTTTCTGAAGGTTATTCCATCTATAAACTGCAAAGAAGCTGTAAGCTGATGTGTATATTTATAATGCATATCACCATGCACCCCCAATTAGAAGAAACCAATCGACCCAATGTTTTCTACCGTTTTTAGAGATGCACTTCCTATTCCTATAATAGAAAGAATATAAGCTTCTTGATAATTTTTACATATTAAACTTAACCAAATGTCAATGTGCTTTTTTCCTTTTCATATTTTATTTGGGCATTCTTCATCAGTACTGCGAGATTTGAAAACTTAATTTAAAACCAATATTAAGTTGGTGGGGTTCTTCGTAAAGAATCAAGACTAACTGTGCTACACGGTATTGCATGCTCACATGTGTCCACGTGTAAGATAGTGTCATCTGCATACAAATGAAACAACAATGATTAGAGTACGGGGTACTAGGTAATTACTACAGATTGTTAAAAGAACAGAGCCTAACATTGATCCTTGTGGAACCCCATTGTTAATGTTGAGAATCTTTAAACCACATTACCAGGGCTTTGAAACAGGTTTAAGTGGGAAAAAGTCTCCACACATGCTTACTTTTTGGTTTGCCCCACAAGTGGAGAGTCAGGAGCAGGGAAAACTGAGAGCACCAAGCTCATTCTGCAGTTCCTGGCTGCGGTGAGCGGCCAGCACTCCTGGATCGAGCAGCAGATTCTTGAAGCAAACCCCATCTTGGAGGGTATGATCAAAACACCATCACAAAGTTATAGTGCCTTATAGTCTTCATAATCATCTCAATCCCCCCTTTTCACTTAATCTGCTTAATGCTTTGTTTTGTTTTTCCTTCTCAGCCTTTGGTAATGCCAAGACCATTCGCAATGATAACTCTAGTCGTTTTGGGAAGTACATTGACATCAACTTCACTAAGGGTGGGGCCATTGAAGGGGCCCGCATTGAGCAGTACCTGCTGGAGAAGTCCCGCGTTTGTCGTCAGGTGGGAAGATTGGTTAGCTATATATTTGCAAGAGCCGTAACATGGTACAAGTCAAATTTTCTTGTGGTAAAGCTCATGTGCTTTCATGTGCAGGCGCCTGAGGAAAGAAACTACCACATCTTTTACTGCATGCTGATGGGCATGCCAGCTGAGCAGAAAAAGATTCTTTCCCTTGGGAATGCTGCTGAGTACAACTATCTGACCATGGTACTGAAATAGTTCTGCAAACTGTGAAATAAGAATAAAACATTATCTTTATTGATGGATTTTTGAAGATAAATTTACATGCGACTGTGAATCACAAATAACTAGATGAGACAAGCGTTCACGTATAGCTTTAAACCATTTGATCGAATCACCAGGGTAAGTGCACCAGCTGCGAAGGTCGTGATGATGTGAAGGAATACGCCCACTTCCGTTCAGCTCTGAAGATCCTCATGTTCACCGAGAATGACTCCTGGGAAATCTCCAAACTGCTCGCTGCAATACTTCACCTGGGCAATGTGGACTTTAAGGGTAAGGACAGCACCATACCATGGGATTCATGTACTGTAGATCTTTTGAGACATTAAACACATTTTATTGCATCATTTCAGGTACTATAGTAAATAACCTAGAAG